GCGCAAGGGGAGCTGGCTATTCTATGAAGGGAGAAGGAATTTTCAAAACTAGGAGTTGTGATTTACCCATCTGCCACACAAGTTGCCTACTTGCGTGCCACACTAGCTCTGCATTCTAACTTTGAGCCCACACTTCCTATAAACTTCTGTGTATTTTTGGAAAAGTGTACCCCAGGCTTTGTTTTCTTTCGGTGCTGGTGGTGAAGAATTTTTTGTTTCATCTCATCATGTTATACCATCTTAGCAAATGCCTTTGCTAAAAACTAGTTAAATCTACTGGCTGTTAGTGGGAAGAATGCTGATGTGGGCTTCTAAGTAATAGGGTCTAGAGTACAACCCTACACAGTTAACCCTAAAAACTAAGCTAACCACTGGGGACCCAACCCTTGAGCACAGGTGCAAGTTGGGAGAGTAGCCCAAGGGGCCATTACTTAAGTACGTACAAAATAGAGAGGATTCTGGGAAGATGGCAGAGTAGGTCAGAAAATTCCAAGCTCTCCAGATTTCCCCCACAAACAAGACAAACTAGTGCCTCAAGGCAAACATAGAACAATTTAAAATAAACAAGAGTTAGTACAGAATGGCAGTCCTCCTGAGACAATCTCAGAGAAAATCTGAAGAAAATCCCAGGACAGGATTTAGTCCCTGTGAAAAGTAAATACCTCCAGGCTAGTGACGAGTGGCGAGCCCTGGGGCTAGCTGGGTTGGGAGATGGCCTCCACCCCAGCCACAGGAACTTTCACCTCCCTGACAGTGAGGGGAGTCAGGTGTGTGAGCAGACAACCTCCACTGATAAGGAACTCCAGACCTAGCTGTGCCATGGAGATGTGGCCTTGGGCAAAAAGGAACCCGCACATACCACACCGAGTGAGGGCAGAAGCAATGGGGTAGGGACACCACTGGCTGTGGACACTTAATGGAGGTGAGGACTTGGTTTTGGATGTAGCTTTCTGAAATTAGAAACATAAAGTTGCCACCTTAGGTGGAGGACCCATGTCACAAGGCCTACCAAGCTCACAGACTCTGCTCTAGAGAGCAGTTTCACCACCACCAAGCATGGAGAGCAGTCATAAGGTGCTGTGAATAGACATAGATGGCTTTCCCCATCCTATTCAAGATTTCTCTGCCAAAGGCCATGCAAAGTAAGCCACTCAATGACATCCTCACAGTTCAAGCACACCAAGCCAATTTTCATGAGGGGAAAAAAAAAAGGTTGGGAGCAATATGCAGATGTAATAATATCTTGGTCAAATCAGAATTTGGATGGCAGGGCTTGCCTTCATATTGTGGGGAGTTCATGCTGAGAAGAAAGACATTCCATTAAGAGGAAATGCTGCAGACTGCCTGTGCACAGAGGGTGCAATGGGTTTTGGCATTTCTGCAAGGCCAATAATTTGCTAAGGAATCCTGGCCATAAGCCAATAAATTGGGAAGTCATTTTAAAAGGCTGTCATAGACATGAGGTGGTTCTGTAGTCCTGATTCTGATATGTTCCTCCTGAGGGATTTAAAAAATGCAAAGTCTAACTCAGAAAACAAGTACCCCAATAATTCTCTGGTACTTGAAGGGAAAACATACCACGCAAAAAGAAGTCGATACAGCACTGGGCCTGACATCAGAAAAACCTGAGTTCAAATCGGACCTCTGAAACTTACTAGCTCTGTGATCTTAGGCAAGTCACTTAATCTCTGTTTGCTTCAGTTTCCTCAGCTGTATAATGGGGATAATAACAGCCCCTACCTCCCAGGTTGTTGTGAGGATCAAATGAGATAATATCTGTAAAAAGCACTTAACAGCAGGCACTATATAAATGCTTATTCTGTTCCCTTCCCCCTCGGATCAAATATAACACTCAGTTTTGGCACTGAAAGTTGGTCAGACTTTGGCCCCTTCCTAAATTCCTGCTTTTTTCTCCATACGCTCTACAATCCAGTGATGCTGGCAGCCTCATTGTTCCTCACAAAAAACCTTCCATCTCCAATGTCCATTCCTTCGTACTGGCTGCTTCCACGCTCCAAATGCACTCCTCACCTCCTATACCTTAGCATCTCAGACTTCCTTTAAAACTCAACTCAAATGTCCCCTTCTACAGGAAGCCTTTTCTGGCATACTTCATGCTCCCAGTTGTTATTGCCTTCTTCCCCTATAATGTCATCTTCCACCTAATCTCATGTATCTTGAATGTATATGTTTTCCTCCATGTTGTTTCCCCCTTTAGAAAGCCATAAGTCCAAAGGTCTGAAGATGAATCATGCCACCTACATCCTGCCAGAGAGATGATAGACTTAAGAACCACAATAGGGTATAAATTTTTGGGTATGGCCTATGTGGAAATTTGTGGTGCTGGACTATATGTGTTTGTTGTGATCCTTTGGAATTGTCTTGGATCACTGCAGTGTGGAGAAGAGCTAAGTTGATCATAAGTGATCGTTGTACAATATTGCTGTTACTGTGTACAATGTTGTCCTGGTTCTGCTCATTCACTTTTTGCATCAATTCATGTAAAATCTTTCCAGATTTTTCTGAAATCATCCTGCTCATCATTTCTTATAGCACAATAGTATTCCATTACATTCATATAGAAGAACTTGTTTAGCCATTTTTCAACTGATGGGCATCCTTTGAGTTTCCAATTCTTTGCCACCACAAAGAGAGCTGCTATAAATATTCTTCAAGGTAGACTTTAATTGCTGCCAGAAGAATCAGGAAGTAGAAGGCAGAGGCTAACCACTCTACTCTCCTCAGAGAGAGGGGATACCAAACTCGAATTATATCTATCACTTCCCTCAAATATTACTAGTCTAGGGGATGTAGTTTTCAGGTTCCAGCTAAACTTCTGATCACTGGTCATTAATGGAGAAAGGAGGGCCCCAAACTCTCTACATAAGCCCTGACTCCCTTTCCCACCAAATACCAGTTCCACAATGAACACACCCTTAACAAAACAGCAAAGAAACCTATTTATCCAAGCTGATAGCAAAACAGAAATCAGAGAAAGTGTACATAGGAAAACACATACCAGACAACACAGAGTGGAGGAGCACTCTTACTGGGAGCGATAAAAGTCAGCTCACCCAAAAGTGTCCCTGATCTCACACACGGGGGAATCCCTGAGGTCTCCAGTGTCGCAAGTTGGGGTGAGGGACATGATGGAGGCTGCCAACTCTTCTTATATTGGTTTCTTCCCAGAGTCTTCTCTTCCTTCAGCAACATGAAGTGGGATTGGCATCATCCATCATCTCTCTTGAAGATGGAATCCAGAATTGCCCCAAAGAGACTCAGCACACCCAGAGAAAAGCCAGACTTCCCTCATCTCTTCTGCTCTCAACAACTCTGTCTCACACCTCATGTAGCAGGGCACTGATCTCCACCAATAAAGACAGAGTCCCATGCCAATGAGCTTTGAACTTGAGTTAAAATGGTTTTTTTCCTTTAAAAATTTTTTCTTTATTTTTAACATTCATTTATATTTTTTTTGAATTCCAAATTCTCTTCCTCCTGGCCCTCCCCCATCCCTTGAGAAGGCAAACATGTTGATATCAATTATACATGTGAAGTCATACAGAACATATTTCCATATTAGCCATATTGCAAAAAAATAAATAAAAAGCAAGAAACATAAAGTTTGAAAAATATGCTTGAATCTGCTCTCAGAGTTCATCTGAAAGTATTCTCTCTCTCTGGAGGTAGGTAACATTTTTTATCATGGGTCCTTTGGAATTGTCTTGGACCATTGTATTGATCAGAATAGCTAACTCTTTAACAGTTGTTCATTCTTACAATATTGCTGTTATTACATACATTGTTCTCCTGGTTCTGTTCACTTCACTTTGCATCAGTTCACAGAAGTCTTTCCAGGTTTTTCTGAAACCCCCTCGTTATTTCTTATAGTTCAGTACTATTTCATCACAATTATATACCACAATTTGTTCAGTCATTCCTCAATTGATGGGCATCCCCTCAATTTCCAATTCTTTGCCACCACAAAAAAAAACTGCTATAAATATTTTTGCATGTATAGGTCCTTTTTCCCTTTTCTTTAATCTCTTTGGGATACAGACCTAGCAGTGGTATTGCTTTCTAGTCCTTTGGGTGTAGTTCCAAATTGTTCTCCAGAATGGTTGGACTGGTTCACAACAGTGCATTAGTGTCTCAATTTTTCTACATCCCCTTCAGCAGAAGTCAGTCAGTAAGTAGTGATAATTAAGCACCTACTCTGTGCCAGGCACTGGGGACACAAAGATAGGCAACAGGCATTCCCTGGGAGATCGTAAGGAGCTCACTGTCTAATCAAAGAGGTAGATTCCAGATGGATGTTAGGAGAAACTCCTAAGTTAGAGCTCTCCAAAAGTGGAATGGGAAGTCACTGCAGGTTCAATCTCCTGGGAGCTCTTCAAGCACAGAGTGGTTGGCCACCTGTCTGGTAATGTCAGAGTGGGTGTTACTTTCATGCAAAGACGATTGGACAAGATAGCTGCCCAAGCCCTTCTCGACTCTCAGATTCTGTGATTCTAGAGCTTTCAGTGGGGCACATAACAAATGGCAGCCCAGAGTGAGAGCTCCAGGGGCTCAATAATTAATAGGGACAGACGTCCAGGTAAGGTGCCATTGACAGAGAGTTTTACTCTTGTTTTATTTCTCCACGACCCAGAACAGTGTCTTGCACATTGGAAGCATTGGCTAAATGCTTGTTTATTTGAATCGCATTTCTCTGACATACTAAAGTCATTTGTTCATTAGCAACTGAAATATTTCCAACATAAAGGAACTTGTTAAGCCATTCCAGATCCTTGGGTTTAGGAAGATACTGGTTCTCTTTGTTTGTGTCATCACCTACCAAATCAATCCATCCAGTCACTCAAGAAAAAAAAATGTGCTTAGGAGATGTCACCAGAGATTCTTTTTGAATCTCATTGAGTTCTTTTCTTTCTAGAAAAAAAGTCATCATGGTAACTACAAAGAACCTATAATTTTAAAGGATTACTATTACGGTAGCTCACCACTGTTATGCGAGAACAGCAGGCGGTGACTATGCCAGAAAATCAAAAAACCTTTTAAACCTGGAAGATTTACCATGCGAAGATGTCTTGACATAGGAAAAGGCAGTCCCCAGGTTTCATTTTGTGGGGGTTCTGTATAAGCAAACCTTGCCTAAAAGAAAAAAAAAACAGAATCTTGGTTGTTTTTGGAAAATCATCAAATTTGGGTGACATTAGTGAGAGTCAACACAACCTAGAAGAATGTGGTAGGCTCATCCCCATCCATTTACTGTCAGGAAAGCACTTGACCCAGGCACAGGCTCTCCCCAGGAATTCCCCAGTTTTCTAAGGTAGCCTGAGGTGACCAAACAACAGAAATACAAGGAGAGGTAGCGATATCGTCTAAAGCCAAAAATTTCCTGTAGACCTTTGTTGCTATGAACCAGAAGCCTGAGATGACATGGAGTGACAGAGAAGAGCTCTCTAAGTAGGCTTCCCTGGGTTCCTTCATCCCCTCCCCCTATTCATTGCTACATGAAGGGTTGCCCTACCCCAATAACCCTGTTACATGGATATTGTAACTACCTACAGACGGTGCAGAGACCTAGGGCAAGTCAGGGAAGATGCCTGTTACACATTAGTAAGAGGGAGCTCCCCCTAAGGAAACTTCTTCTCCACCAATGTAGGTAGGTCAGCACCTTCTTCACAATGTCTGGTCCTACAGCAGTGGTGTCACACAGGGGCCACTAATCCATGCACGAGGACAGAAAGCCCCACTGCTTATTGACTTGGTTTTAAAGTGTAATGTTACCTATTTTATTGTATTCTCATTTATTTATTTTGGAGGAAGTTAGGTGGCAAGGTAGATAAAGTGTTGGGCCTAGAGTCAGAAAGGCCTAAGTTCAAAGCCAGCCTCAGACACCTACTAGCTGTGTGACTCTGGGCAAGTCACTCGACCTCTGGTTGCCTCAGTTTCCTCAACTGTAAAATAAGAATAATAATAGCACCTATCTCCCAGGGTTGTTGTGAGGATCGAATGAGATACCATTTGTAAAGTGCTTAGCACAGCGCCTGGCACATGGTAAGTGCTGTATAAATGTCAGTTATTAGCTCTCACAGGTATTCCCCAATTTCACTGGGAGTATTGTGGGCAGCCTGCAGTGGGGCCATGTGTCTGATACCTCTGGTCTAGAGCACTGAGCGTTTAGTTGACACACCTACCCAAGGTCACACAACCAGCACACGTCAGAGGAAGGATTTGAAGCCAGATGGTCCTGGCTCCAAGGCTGACTCTGTACTGTAACATACTGCTGCCTCTCCTCCACATTTTATGCAGAAGATAAACAAAGTTCAGAAAGGTTCTTTTAAGTGATGGGGCCAGGCCATGCTTAAATTCTACTTTCTACAGGAGGCCTTCCCCACCCCTCCCCACTACTGCTAGTGCCTTCCCCTCTCAGATTACCTTCCATCTACTCTGCATATATCTTGTATGTAACTAGTGATTTACACATTGTATCCCCCAAAAGAATGTATGTTCCTTGATGAACTCTGAGTGCAGATTGAAGTATGTTTTCTTACTTTCTTTTTCTTTTTTTCTTTTTGTAACATGGCTAATATGGAAATGTGTTTCAGATGACTCCACATATATAATGGGTATCATATTGCTAGGGGAGGGTCTGGAGAGCGGGAGAGAATCTGGAATTCAGAAGGATGGAAGGAAGGGAGGGAGGAAGGGAGGGAAAAAAGAGCATATGTTCTTTGAGGGTAGGAACTGTTTCTTTGTGTCCTGGGTACTTAACACAATGCCTGATACATAATAAGGTCTTAATACATGACTGTTGACTGATTGTGTTTGTATTTGTCCTTAGTTCTATTCCTCTCCTTTCATTTTTGGCCCATCCTTTTAAAATATAATCTCATTGTACAGTCACTGGTTCCCTTTATATGCCTTCTCATTTTCTTCCTCACTGAGTATGAATACTTAGAATTTCATTTTTGAAAGTCTCCTATTCTCCTTAAGTCATTTCTCTTTTGCAGTCTGTGGCCATGGTTCCAGGCCAATCTTTTCTCTGAACTGTTTGAAATCTGCCCAACATTCTCCTCCTTGGCTCTGAGAACTCTTGTCATGGTTACTTTCTTTCAAAGTTCCTGTCATTTGCATTTCACCAACCAGTAGTCCAAAGTTGATCCAAAACTTAACTAAAAAGAAATAGAAAGTATCCTGGAATTCTAATTTAATTGCTTTAGCGGAGCTCTGGGTAGGTAATGTCAGTGGGAGGTGAACACCCACCCCTGTTGAGCTGCTTTGGTCATCAAGATAAGAGATGTGAAAGCACAGTACCCCTTCTGACCCAGCGGTATAAAAACAGCACTAAAATGGGGGCCAGGAAATCTGGATTCAAGTCCTGACTTTGCCACCAGCTGACTGTGACTTTGAGCAAGTCACTTTCCATCCGTTTCCTCATCTGTCAGCTGATAGCATTGGACTGGATGGTACCTTTGGTATCTTCCTATTCTGACCTTCTAGAAACAAACGAGGATTCTTTTGATATAACAATTAAAGAGCTACTTGTAGTACTCAGATGGGGGAATAAATAGGACAGACCCTTGGCCAACGCATGTGGGACATAGCTACTGTACTGTTGGCACTGACTTTTGGGATAACCAGACTAGATTCCTTGAATACATGAATAAATGAATGAATGAATCACTTCTTGAGCATTCACACTGTGCTAGAGTAAGCAGGGCTATCTCAGTTCTGATCCTCTATGCTAACTAAGAAATCCTCTAATTTTCATTTGTTTTTTCAAATAGACTTCCCTCATAGAAGGAGATTTCTTTCCCATGATACAAAGTAGTCTTTGTCATGGGTCATGGGCTCTATATTTGTTCAACAACATTTGAAAAGCCATCACCTCTACCTCTTCTTACTAGTAGCCTAGGCTTTATTCCTGTATTCACTGGGGGTGATTGGTCAGCTTTTGCCACATCTTGGAATACAAGCGAGGATGCCCCATACCATGTCAAGTGGTCACATGTGAATTTAGGAAATGTGGGCCAGTTTTTCCCAGTGCTTGACCACTTCTCAATAAGTTCACCATTGAAATTCTAGACCAGTAGAGCTAGGGAAATATGGTGGTAACAGCATCTCTCTGGCTTCCTTCTAGAATCCCATAACTACAGTATAAATATATCTGATCTCCTCTTAAAAAAACCAATCTTCCTACTCCTGATCCAGATAAATGGCCAATTAAAATATACAAAGGCATAGTACTTTGTGAATTGTAGACCACACTTGGTACAGTCAGGTTTCTATAACCTCTACCTGTACAACAAATGTCTTTGGAATCCATAAAGAATTATACCCAAGGTTGGAGCCTAGGTGTCATTCCTGACTCTTCACTATCTCTCACCACCCATATCCAATCTGTTGCCAAGGCCTGTTGACTTCACCTTTGAAATCTCCCTCCAATATACCCCTTTCTCTCCTCTGATGCTGGTACCATCCTGGAGCAGGCCTGCATCTCATCATCACAGGCCTGGAATAGTGCAATAGCTCCTGGTGGGTCTGCCTGCCACAAGTATCTCCCCACTCCAGTCCATCATCCACTCAGCATCAGAGTGGTTTTCCTGAAGCACAGGTCAGACCATGTTACCCCCTATGCAATAAACTCTAGTGTCTCCCTATCACTCTCCAGATTAAATATAAAATCCTCTGTTTATTATTCAAAGCCCTTCATAACCTGGCCCCATCCTATCTTCCCAGTCTTCTTAGGCCTTCACCCCTCATCCCCCACCATCACTCTTCAGTGACACCAGCCTCTTTGTTGTTCCTCACACAAGATTCTCCATCTCCTGACTCCAGATGTTTTCTACTGGTTGGCTGTCCCCCAAGCATGAAATGCTCTCCTTCCTCACCTTCCTTCTTGGCATTCTTGGCTTCCCTCAAGCCCCAGTTAAAATTCCATCTTCTCTAGGAAGTCCTTTCTGATCTTCCTTAATGTTGGTGCGTTCCTTCTGTTGATCATACTCAATTTACCCTGAATACAGTTTGTCTGTCCACAATTGTTTGCATTTTGTCACCCCCATTAAACTATGAGCTCCTGGAGAGGAGGGACTACCTTTTACCCTTCTTTGTATCCCCAGTACTTAGCACAGTTCCTGGCATGTAGAAAGCATTTAATAAATGTTTACTAAGTGACTTTAGGATCCTAATAGAAAGTAGGATTTACTGGAGTGCAAAGAATTACACTAAATACTTTTAGGAAAGTCTGGTTTTCCAGGTTGAAATCAGTCAATCAACAACAAGTATTTAAGTGCCTATTTTGTGTCTGGCACTGGGTTAAGTACAGGGAATACAAATGTAAAAAATAACCAATCCTTACTTTCCAGAGACTTTTTCTAGTCTACTCCCCTTATTTGACTGCTAGGGGGAAATTAGGCCCAAGACAAGGAAATTCTTGTGTAACCACTAAGTGAACTGAACCAGATACTGCACTCCTGTTCCCGCCACACTAACTCTGATTCTGTACCTCGCTGAACAATCATGAGGCTCAACAACTCTTAAGACTTGAGAGACTGTTCCCAGGTCCAAGAAATGTCAACCATGGGAACTGCTTACTCAAGAACTAAGAATGACTGTATTGTGTTCCAGCCCCTTTCACATAGCAAGTCATGTTTTCCACAATTGTTCATGGCCTCCTATGAGCCCTTTGCATTTTCTTTGGGGCAAAATAAAGGCTATTCTATACTCTGCATCTACATTATTACCTTGAATGCATCAATGAGATCTGGGCCCCTTTTTACTCACATCCTTGAAGGACTAGGTCCAAGCTATATTTGGAGATTTTCCAAGAGTAAATTCTGGGTAGGGACATAATGAGCCAAAGAAACAGTGATCTTTTAGGGTTGTTCCTAAGACTGGGGCCAGCCTATGTGATTCCAGAGGCTGGGAGCACATGGCCACAGGTTATATTGGCATACTAAATATGGCCAAAACAAGTTCCATCCTTTAAAAGTTAACATGAAACAAATGTACAGATGCAAAATAATGAACAATTTGCTTTGCCTCCAGTCCAATTCAAATGAATCTTTCTAATCAAGAGAAACTTACCGTATCACCATTCTTCAAGAGCACTGCAAACTTGGACATGGAATGAAAGAAAAAGATACCTTCAAAAGTTCCATTAAGGAGTTTCTAAATGAAAAATTAAAGAATAAAGTAAATGACTAAAGAGTATGAGCATAAAGGCCTAAGCATGAATTACATGCACTAACACTTATAATTTAACTCCAGATTTCCCAATCAGCTAAAATGAAGTAAAATCTCATCTCTAGGCTCCATTTTGTATAAAAACACAAAATATAGCAACTAAAACAAGCAAGATTGATAGAAGAAAGAAATAGAATGCCTCCAGCAACAGAATTGCTGAAGGGCAAAGGAATACATAAAATTTTGTAAGGTGGTGGGGAATTTTGGTCCTGATTGGGAAGGCCTTCAGGCATCTTACTAAAACTGAAAAAGGGGTTAGAAAGGTGAGAAAAAGACTATGACATTGTCATTTGAGAGAATAAAAAAAAAAACCCAGAACCCAAAACCCTTCTGTGCATACGTGGCACTGGAAGAGAAAGATAGCTCAAAAATATTAGATAGGCATAAAAAGTTTTTTAATTAGAAAGATCAGTTTAGGTATAGTATCAATGGACTAAGTTGATCAAGAAAAGGGACACTGATATTCAGCTTCTATTCAAGACTTAAAGGAGACTGAAGCAAATATAAAAGAACAAGGAATATTATTGTGCTGTAAGAAATGACAAAAGGGACTGATTTAGAGAACCTGAGAAAACTTATATGAACCTATACTGTACAAAGTGACCTGACCAGCAGAACAATTTATACAATGATCACCATATTGTAAAGGAAAACGACTTTGGTGGATAAAGTAATTATCAAGTACAGCCCAGAGCAAGGGATAACAGGTGGATAGCCAGAGAGATCAATTCAGTGTTCTTACAATGTACAGAGAAATTAAGGAAAGCTTTCCTTATGTTGGTTTCAGGAGGACACTGTCCCACAGGGTGGATAGCCATAGATGGGTTGTGATCCACATCACTGAAGGGAATTTCTGAATCTCTAAGATCATAGATCCATTTGAGGATCTGAGAATAAGAGATAACAAAAGGGATGGATTCAGAGACTCATAGGAGGACATATATGAACTGATGGAGCATAAAGTGACCCAAGCTAGAAGCACAATTTATCTACTAGCTACATTGTAAAGAAAGATACCTATGAAAGATTTAGGAACTATGGTCATTGCAATGGTCAATTTTGATTCTGGACCACTGATGATAACTCATGCTTCTCACCTTGCAGTACAGAGATGATGGACTAGCAGTACAGAATCGTGCCTACATTTTTAGACACAATGTGTGAATTTTTTTTTTGTGATTATTCTTACTGGCTGCAATGTAGAACTTTCGTTTTTCTTATTTGGGGCAGAGACTTGGGAATGGATGCATACTGATAGTAATACTGGAAAGAAAGAAAAAGAAAGGAAGTTAGAGCTTCAATAAATAATTAAAAGCAAACAAGAAGAAGGCAGAAGTTCATAAGGAGAAAAAGACAAACAGAGTAATGTTGAAAGAGAAGCCATCTAGTCCAATCCTCACTTTTTTAAAGATGAAGAAACTGAATTTCAGGGAAGCTAAGTGAGTTATCTAAAGCTCACAAATGTAGAGTCAGAGGTGGGCTATGAATCCAACTCCCTTAACCATAGAGCCAGTGGTGAGTAGTTTAAATTGAGTCATTTGGTCTCCCAGAGTGAGGTGTCTTTTGTTTACCCATTAATGGTTAACTTCCCCAGTCATTTAACATATACATGCAGGTAACTAGGTCTTGAACTATCTCACAAGGGAAGGGGAAGGTTAAGAGTTTGAGCCCCAGCTAAACATTTGGTAGCAGTCATTCACTGCCTTGGTAAGATTGAGAATGATTCCAGACGTTAAATAGCAGGGCAACATGGAAGGAGATTTTTTTTTTTTTTTAAAGGCTCATGCTCCACAAGACACTAAGAGAGATGGAGTGGAGAAGAAACATGAAAGACAAAGATGGCTTGAGGGTCCCTGCAGATACTTTGTGGTGTGTGTCATAGGACTTTGGACTAAGGGCAGCAGGTTGGCCTCAAAGCAAATTTTTGTTTTATGGAATAAAAGAATTCAGACCAAACTCGGATGACTACCCATTAAGATCTGAGGAAATTCTCTCCAACTTAAACTTTTCCCATCCTTAATGCTTAATCATTAGGCATTTTAAATACGATTTATTTTCCTACATTTCCTTAAATTGTGTTTTATCTTGATTTTGACGTTTTCTTTATATAAAATCTATAATTGACCCCCAGAGCTGTGTATGGTATATTTGTATCTTGCTGGAATAGAGCTAATGGGAATTTAACCAGCTAGGAAGTCTCCTTTACAGCTTGGTGGCTAAAGGTCACCTGGAGGGTTGATGAGCTATTATGAACTTATTAATAATTCATACATTTGGATAACCCTCCCAGATGGCCAAACTTGGAGCTCCTCTTCATTCATAACTTTTGGCCACCTCTCTCTCCCAACTTGCTCAGGGTCACACAGCTTGTATGCCTCAAAGGCCAAATTTGAACTTGGGTCTTCCTGGCTCCAGGCCCTTGCACTCTAGCTACTCTGCCACCTGTCTGCCTCAGAGAGTAACAGATGTTAGATTAGAGGATGGCCCATGAAGCTGGACCTGCTCTGTCTGGCCCCTTCCAGTGGGACGTGTGCTCTGTTTTTGTGAAAGGATATGCAATATGCTGTTTGGACACAAAGAATTCAGGAATTTGTTTGCTTGACCAAGCGTATTTGTCACAATGAGTAGGAGAGATAACAGGAAGAAAAAACAGATTTTTGTTCACTGAAAACAAGAAAATTATTTAATAATGCACATGTCCTACTCCTCCCAATTAAGCTGTAAGCTCCTTAAGGTAAGAGACTGTTTTGGGTTTGTTTGTTTTCTTTTTGAACACCCAATTCCTAATACAGTGCCCCTTTCACATAGTAAACAAGTAATCAATGTTTGTGGATTTTAAACTAAGTTGAATTCTCACCAAATTTAACATACCAGTTGAGGTAAATGTAATTCTTCGAAATTAAATCCCAGACTGTTTGAGATATATATGACAGCTTCAGATACAGGACCTCCAATGGCATATACCAAAATGAGATTATTTACAGACTGAAAAGACAAGTTATTTGGAGGAAAGTAAGATATGATTGTATGATATTAACATTGGGTCATTCTGTTGCTTTATTTCTCTACGTATCTCTTCTCTCTAGCCATCCTTCATGCTGCTTCCCAAGTAATCTCCTAATGTCACTGATCCTGTCGCTCAGTTTCCTGGGTTCTCCATTGTCTACTGGATAATTTATAAACTTGTGATTTTGGTATTTGAAGTCTTCTATGATCAGTCTCGAAGCATAGGCCTGACCATGTCCCCTTCCCTAGTCATCCCCATGAGTACCCTGTCACCTCCAAGATCAAATAGAAAATCCTATTTGTTCAAAGCCTTTCATAACCTGCCCCTCCCCCCACCTTCCCAGTCTTCTTATACCTTACATCTCTCCCTTCCCATCACTACCTACTCTTCAATCCAATGATACTGGCCTCCATTTATACATAGTTATTTGCATGTTGTCTCCCCCATTAGACTGGGAACTCCTTGAGGGTAGAGACTATCTTTTAACTTTCTTTGTATCCTAAGCATTTAGCTTAGTGCTTAATAAATTGGTGCTTAATAAATGTTTATTGAATGCCTCACTTTCCAGGCTTATCTCCTATACTTTGGACCACCCTCAGTTCCCCATTCTTTTCTTGTCCTCTCCTAATATTTATTACATCCCTTATACCTGAAATGGCTTCTCCATCTTTGTCCTAACATTTATTAAGCACCTACTTTGTGCCAGGAATAGTACTAGATAGCCCTGCCCACAAGGGGCTTACTTTCTACTGAAGTATAAAACCTGTACATAGAAAAGTGAGTACAAGATGATTTGAGGGAAGGAACACTAAAAGCTGGGGGATGGAGGTTTCACAAAAGGGTTTGAGAGATACCAGCATCTGAGTCTTGAAGTAAGACAAGGATTCTAAGCAGTGAGGAAAGAGGACTCATGAGGTAGGGAAGTGGGAGACAGATGGAAAAGGGAGAGAAAGGAGGTGGAAACAAGCATTTATTCAGTGTCATTATGTGCCAGCCACTGAGCTAAGCACTTTATCAATATCATTTCATTTGATCCTTACAACAACGCTGTTATTAATTCTCATTTTACAATTAAGGAAACTGAGGCAGAAAAAAGTTAAGTGACTTGCCCAAGGTCACACAAAGTTGTCCAGTCTGAGGCTGGATTTGAACTTAGGTCTTCCTGACTCCAGGCCCCTCAAGCTATCCACGGATCCACCTAGCTGTTTAGGGAACAATATTGGCAAATTGACCACCTTGACTGGAACACAGAGTGCATGCAAGAGAATAACGTTAATTCCTGCCCCAAAAGGTCAAGTTGAATCTAGATTGTGGAGAGCTTTGGATGGCAGCCTGGAGAGTCTGTATTTTATTTTATCACAGGGGCCGCCTTACTGGGAGGCACTGAAGATTTTTGAGCAAGACGTCCAACCTGTGGGAGGCTATCTTGTCAGCTGTGCAAAGGAAAGACTAGAGAGGGGGAAGGACTGCAATCAGGTTAGGGTCACAGTTCAGGTGATGTTCAAGGTTCTAAACGGGGACGATGGCCGTGGAGGTGAGTGAAGAGCAGGGGCCTGCTGGAAGAAATAGGAAGGGAGAGGAAGCAGGCAAGACAGTTAAAGTCCCTGCCTTTCTTCAAGGTCCAAGTCCTCTAGGAAGTCTGTACCAGTGCCTTCCCCATCTCCAATGGTAGCCACGGCATCACAGAATCTCAGAGTTGGAAGGAACCTTGTAGGGTACCTTGTCCAACCTGTGCCTGAATAGGAATCTCATCTAGAATATCGTTAAGCAGTGGTTATCCCATCAAACCATCCAGTGATGAGGAAACCTCTACCCTGCTCCCCAGTTCAGCTCTTGTTTTCCTCAAATTCCCCATAGTGTTGTGTGGTCCCTCTCTCCTCAAACTTCCTCTGGCTTTTTGTCTAGATGTTTCCTTCGCTCTTAGTGAATTCTCCTGAGTCCCACAGGGATCTCTTCAAACGTTTCCCCTCCTATTCCACTGTAAGATTCTTAAAATCAGAGCCTGTGTCCTCTCTATCCTTGCTCTATTCTGGCATCTTGAACAGAGATATTTTGTAATTGTTTTCTGATTAATAAAGTAATGAATGGTCTGTGGCTAGGTAATTTAGTTGGTTAGTTTCATACTAATGAAGAATTAAGGCGCTATACTTACTGAGCAAGAGTAATCATTACTATAGCAACAGTACTCTGTATAAATATTTGTAAAGTAGACCTGTGTAACTGAAAGGGAAATACGACATAAAGCATGAGGATAAGGCCCTGGGATTTTTAAAGTTATAAACAGAATACCAACATATTTCTTATATTGATCATTGTCATACCAATGACCTCTGACCAGGAAGCCAAGTCAAAACAGATATATGCACAATTATAGTTAAAGCAGTTTCTGCCAGGCTCCATTGACTTAGATTTGGATGTTATCACCCTTTGTAATCCTTGGGAGGTATGCCAGTATATAATATAGTATAGTATAATTTATATATAGTATAGTTTTAATAAATATAGTATAATATAGTATAATTATAACATGGTATAGAATAATAAGATATATAGTATAATAATACAACATAAATAATAACATAGTATAATTTAATAGAGTATCACAAATAGATATCATTCTGCATTTCACCTAAAAGCTCTAATTTATGAGTGTTAACCCACTTATTTGTTGGAGATCAGCTGTTCAGCTAAGGGGACACACAGGGCTCTGGCATGTGTTGGATATGCCCAAAAATCAATGGAAAGCAACTTCAACAAGAAGGTATCAAATAAGATTAAATAAAATTCAATCCCTACCCTCAAGGTACTCACAATAGAACAGAGGTCTGTGACATATACAAATAAGTATGATAAAAAATCATACATGATAATTGCATAAGATAAGTGCATGAAAGACCCAAGGCAAGGCTATGTACAGTCTAGGGGTTTACTGCTGACTAAAAGATTTCAGTGAAATTTTCTCAGGGGAGAAGTGGCATTTGACCTAGACCTTAAAGGATGCTTAGGACAGGCAAGTCAGACAGAAAAGGAAGAGGCTCCTAGCAGCTATCTATCTCCCTTTCCTTTCCTTTTTTTTTTTTTTTTTTTAGTTTGTTTGTTTGTTTTTATTTAGTATTTTATTTTTCCCCAGTTACATGTAAAAACAATTTTATCATTCATTTTTAAAACTCTGAATTCCAAATTCTCTCCCTTCCTCTCTTCCCACTCCCCCCACCTCATTGACAAGGCAAGCAATTTGATATAGGTTATACAGGTGTAGTCATGAAAAACACTTCCAGAATAGTCATGTCGTGAAAGACTATATTTCCCTCCGTCCTATTCCCCTATTTATTCTATTCTCTCTCTCCTTTCATCCTGTCCCTCCTCAAAAGTGTTTTGCTTCCGACTACTCCCTCCCCAAGTCTGCCCTCCCTTCTAGCATCCCCCTTCTCTTATCCCCTTCCCCCCTACTTTCCTATAAGGTAAGATAGATTTCTATACCGAATTGTGTGTGTATGTTATTCCTTCTTTGAGCCAATTCTGATGAGAGTAAGGTTCGCTCATTCCTTCTCACCTCTTCCCTTTCCTCTCTTCCCCTCTACCGCAAAAACTTTTTCTTGCCTTTATGTGAGATAATTTACCCCCATTCTACCTCTCCCTTTCTCTTAGCACATTTCTCTCTCACCCCCTAATTTTATTTTTGAGATATCATCCCTTCATATTCAACCCACACCTATGCCCTCTGTCTATACATACCCCTTCTAACTACCCTAATGAGTTACAAATATCATCTTTCCATATAGGAATGTAAACAGTTTAACTTTAATAAGTCCCTTATGACTTCTCTTTCCTGTCTACCTTTTTATGCTTCTCTTGAATCTTGTATTTGAAAGTAAAATTTCCTATCTAGCTCTGGTCTTTTATCAAGAATGCTTGAAATTCCTCTATATCATTGAATATTCATTTTTCTCCCTCATGGATTATACTCAGTTTTGCTGGTGATTCTTGGTTGTAATCCTAGCTCCTTTGCCCTCCGGAATATCATATTTCAAGCCCTCTGATCCTTTAAGCTAGAAGCTGCTAAATCTTGTGTTATCCTGATTGTGGCTCCACAATACTTGAATTGTTTCTTTCTGGCTGCTGGCAATATTTTCTCCTTGACTCCAGAATTTGGCTATAATATTCCTGGGAGTTTTCATTTTGGGATCTCTTTTAGGAGGTGATTGGTGGATTCTTTCAATTTCTATTTTACCGTCTGGTTCTAGAATATCAGGGGAATTTTCCTTGATAATTTCTTAAAAGATGATATCTAGGCTCTTTTTTTGATCATGGTTTTCAAGTAGTCCAATAATTTTTAAATTATATCTCCTGGATCTATTTTCCAGGTCAGCTATTTTTCCAATGACATATTTCACCCTTTCCTTTCTTTTGAGCAAGGATTAATCAATCAATCAACCAGTGTGTTCTCTGCCCTGGTGCACTGTTGAAGGACATATTAGAGAAGCACAACACAAAACATGATATTTTCCCTCAAATAGTTTACATTCTACCTAAGGGAAGAGAAAATTAACACACATGGAACAACAAAAGAACAAGTAAATGCTAAACTCTAATTCAACCTCCTCCTTCTGCCTCTTACAAGCTTCTTGATCTTCCTTAGGTCCCCTAACCTTTTTGGGTCTTAGTTTCTTCATCTCTAATGTTATGATGACATTGGCATTCCTTCCCTCACAGAATGGCTGTGAGGATCAAGATAATATAACATAAATGTGAGCTATTATTACTCACACCCTTCTCTTTACCTCAAAATACTTGTCTTTTCAAACCCATTCTCTTGCTCCTTCTGTTTCATAGAAAGAGGTTTCCTTCCTTCTTCTCAAGGCTTCCCCTACCTCTCAATCCATTATACTGTAACTGGAATCTTGAGTCTCTCCACACAGCTATTAAGCTATTAAGAGATCATAGGCAACATTGGAGAGAGAAATTTCAGTTGAATGATGAAGTTGGAAGGCAGATTTCAGAGTACTAAAAGAATAAAAGGAAAGGAAGTGGAAGTGCTAACTGCAGATGGACTTCTCAAAGAATTTAGCCATTAAAGGGAGGAGAAATATAAGAAGAAACCTAGCAAGGATCAAGTGAGGGTTTTTTGAAGATGAGGGAGACATGGGGATGTTTGTAAGCAGTAGGGAAGCGGTCAGGAGACTGAGAGTGAAGATAAGAGAGAGAGCGGGGATGGTCAAGGGGGCAATCTGCCAGAGGAAGACAAGATGGAATAGGATCACTTGTGCATGTAGAGGGGTTGGCCTTGACAAGAAGAGCCTCCTCTCCATTTGAGATAAGAATGAAGGAGACAGCAGCAAAAGGCTTCTGGCTGAGATGAGAAGATAAAATGAATGGCCTTCATTTTTTCTGTGAAATATGAGGCAAGGTTTTTAGTTGAAAGGGTTGAGGGAGGTGGGGAGCCATGGAAGGTTTAAGGAGGAATGAAATGTTTTGGCAAAGCTGCAATAGTGAGTAAGATAGTGAACAGATCAGGGAGGTATAAAAAGATTTCCTTGCTGAAGCAACAGACTTTTGTGATTTTCTCCAGTTTCATTCAGCAGCAATCAGTTGGGGATAGTGGGAGTAATCCAAGGCTGAGGCTCGGGAGAACTAGATGAGTGATAGGATAGGGGGGCAAGTGGCTCAAGAGAAGAGGACAGTATTGAGTCGAAATGATTGAGCAAGGAGTCGAGATGGGCAAGGAGGCAACAAGCATTTATTAAGAACTTACTATATGTCAGGCACTGCACTAAGTGCTACACATGCAAATACAAGCAAAAAGAAAGAGTTCCTGTCCTTAAGAAGCTTACATCCTAATTTCTTCTTGACCTCTCTGCAGCCTTTGACATTATCAATCACCTTCTTCTTGATACTTTCCTCCCCATAGGTTTTCCTGACACTACTTTCTCCTGGTTCTCCTCCTACCACTCTTTCTCAGTCCCCTTTGCTGGTTCTTCATCCAGATTATGCTCAGTAACCATGGGTATCCCCTAAAACTTGGTTGGGACCCCCTTATCTTTTCCCTTTATACTATTTCATTTAGTAAACGCATCAGCTCTCATGGATTCAATTATCAACTCTATGCAGATGATTCTCAGTTCTGTTTATCCAGCCCTAACTTGATGACCTCCAGCTTCTCATCTCCAAAAACCCATTAGATATCTTCAACTGGATGTCTTATTAGCATCTTAAATTCAAAATGTCCCAAACTGAAGTCATCATCATTTCCTCTAAGCTCTCCCCTCTTCCTAACTTCTAATTACTGTTGAGGGGACCACCATACTCCCAGTCCCCCAGGTTCATAACCTATCATAATCAATTTGTTGCCAGTGCCAGTTGAGTTTGCCTTCACAATATTTCTCTGATCACCCCTCTGGTCCAGACCTTTACCACATCACTCCTGGATTATTGCAATAGCTTTCTGGTTGGTCTCCCTGTCTCTAGTCTCTTCCCACTCCAGTCTGTCCTCCTTTCCACTGCCAAAGTGATCTTCCTAAAGGGCAGTTCTGACTATGTCACACACCACACCCCAACAGACACTCAATAAACTCCAGTGGTTCCCTATCACATCCAGGATTAAATACAAAATCCACTGTTTGGTTTTGAGAGCCTTTCATAACATGGTCAACCTCCTACCTTTTCAGTATTCTTACATTTTATTCTCTTTCGTGTACTTTTCATCCATTGACACCAGCCTCCTTACTGTTCCTTACACAAGATGCTTTATCTCAAAACTCCAGCATGTCCCCCATGTCTGGATTTCTCTCATCCCTGTTTCCTAGCTTTTCTGACTTCCTTCAAGTCCCAGCTAAAATCCCACCTTCTATAAGTAGCTTTTCCCAATCTCTCTTAATTCTAGTTCCTTCCCTTTGGAGCAGCTAAGTAGTGCAGTGGATAGAGCACCAACCCTGGATTCAGGAGGACCTGAGTTCAAATTCGGCCTCAGATACATAACACTAGCTGTGTGAACCTGGGCAAGTCACTTAACCCCATTACCTAGCCAAAAAAAATAAAAAATAAATAAATAAAAATTCTAGTTCCTTTCCTCTGTTGATTATTTCCAATTTATCCTGTATATAGAAACTAGCTCAAACATAGCTGTTTGCATGTTGTCTCCCCTATTAATCTCTCAGTTCCTTGATAGAAAGGTCTGTTTTTCCTTTGCTTTTCTTTGTATTTCCAGGTCTTCTTAGCACAAT